ACCCTGGCTGCTGACAAAATGACCACTAGCATGACTGCTGACTACTGAAAAGAAAAATTAGAAAAAGCCTGATATGATATTACCTACCCATATGCAAAGGCCTTATATCATAAAAGGCAAAATCTAAAATTGTACTGCAATCTGCCATTTAATAAAACGATAAATCTAATATTATAAATGTGAGAGTTTACGAGAATATATGTGCTTGTTATTCTTTCAAGCAAAACGGCTATACCTATTTGGTTGATATTTTGTATGAAGATAGATCATACCCTAGATTTTAGACACATAGGCTTTTTATCAGCTTACCACGTGCACGGAGCCGGGAGTGGAAGTTAGCATAAGATATATCAAGAATACAAGTATCGCCTTAATTTACAGCCAAAATATAACAACAAATAATTTATTTAATAAACAATACGACAATCTGAAATACATAATTATAAATTCAGAACGTGGCTGTTTCTAATCTTATTCAAAATCGTCAAGGTATCTCCAATCTGACTGAATTTGACACTATTAAATTAAGCTTACCGGGAGCGTCAACCTATCTAGAATGAAAATTGATTCATTTATTATTTACAATAAGGTTTAGTTTATAGGAATGAACTAATGCCTCTCCTAAATTATTTAATAGGTACATAATTGACAGAATTGTAATGATATTTCAACAATTCAGATTATTGTAACACTTACTTTTGCCCGCGAGTTTGTTCGCGTGGAATAGTGATTTCCTGCGGATTTTTAGTTAAAAAACTATCCTATAACCTTTCTCGAGTTTCAAACTATGTCTGTACCAAATTTCACACAAATATGTTCTGTAGTTCAGGTCTGAAAAAAAGACAGACAGACAGAAACACAGATTTACTTTCGCATTTATAATATTAGTTTGGATTCATTTCATTATTTATTATGTTTTCGGCTTACTCACGTAATAATTTGACGAGATACTCGACTAGTTTCAAGCCATGCTAGAGGCCCATATTCATGAGCAGCATTCCGCGACACGCGACTCGGCGACCGTCGCGCTGCTACTGGTTTGGTGATTCATTTCATGTGAGAAAATGTTCGCTCCTGAATTATATCTTAAAATTGATATTAAATTTTTATTATAACTTTCGTGAGACATTCTAAATATTACATGTTGAAGGATCACCTCAAGGTTGGCCTAGGAAGAAAGCCTAAGACATTGTCACTTAAGGGGAATTTAAGTTTTGTAACAATAAACTGATGAACATATTGGTTATATTTTCACGAGTAGTCGCACTATAGGATTTGATGCCAGAAACAAATAGGGCATTATTATTTTTTGCAATTTTGAAACCTTGTTAGTTGCTCTTATTAATATAAGATATACAATAAATCGTTTAACTACTCAATCTTTCTTTATACATATAAACACATCTGTCGAAGCCAACTGGTTAAAATATTCATTCATTCAATTACCTTCCCTTTGGTCTCAGTACAAATTGAGTGGCTGTGTAATTATAATGGCGAATCGATTTCTGTCCGTGTCACAGTTCTAACTAAAACCTAACCTACCACTCTAGTAGCAACTCGGTTTTCATGGTAATCCCTTTTTTTGTCAGGTGATAATCATCAAATGACTCCTCCCGCCCAGAGTAAGGCGAGAGAGAGTGTAGGACACTTACTGACTAAAAACCTCCCCGTTCCTTCTCCTGTTTTAGGCCGAGGCTGGCGCGATTCCACATTGCGCCTACCCCGCAACCCCGGTATTTTGATGGCTAATTCAACTATTTGGCTGCTACATACCAACAGAAATAAAACGTAGATATATCTAGTTTTTATTATATCGTAACTTGATACAAAAACTCAGCAATGTTTTAAGAGTGACGTGGAAACCTTCAGACATGTCAACATCAATTATTCGTTTGGAAAAAAACTAAGGTCTTGTTGTCAACTTGAGACTTCACAGGTGTCTGGTCTCAAATTCCTTCCCACCTTGTGTAAGTAACTTCAGTAAAGCTTTATACTAAGCCAAAGCCTAAGTATTGGGGTCATACAATTTTAAAACGTTACGAGAGCCTTTTTACGTAATCCATTTATTTATTCTGCGAATACGAGATTGGTGTTAAGAAAAAGAAAAAAACAAAGTCTTGTTGTCTTGAAGAAAATGTACTTAGGTGTACTTTTTTAAAATATCAGTTTTTCTGCTGTATATAGATGTTTCTAGAGGAATTTGTTTATTCATATTAGCTAAAAATTAGATATAGTTACTTTCATAAATTTGACGTTTTTCTTATATTTCGTATAAGCAACAAGCAACGAAGAAAAATGCAACCTCATTTGAAATTCAAAAAGTATTTAATAAGTCATTTTAAAAATGTTCGATAAAATAATTGAACACTGCATACGAAACATAATATTCATATTCAGTTCTTTTTTCAAACTTTGGCTTAAAATTACCATTGAATAAATTTATGAAAGCTCCTTATTATTTTACTACCATTTTCATCTAGATATTGAAATTAGGTTTCATCTGAATTTTCTCATTCTAGGTCAATGGCCTCTTTACTGATTACTTTTCTTAAACCCATGGCGCCATTCTCAACAGCTTTATTAGCCCAGGCATTATTGTCTCAATATCGAGGACAAGACTTGTTTTTCAATTACTAGAAGCAACCCGGGGGCTCACTAAGGATTATGATTAGTTTTTCAACCAATTAGGTACTTACTTATAATATGATATCGTTTTTTGCTCCACTAATAATATTTTCTCATTTGCATAGTTACGTGGTCCAAATATTTATGTACCTGACATGCCCAGACTTATTATTTTAATGTTCTTGTTATTTTTTTTGAAATCCTGGCTAATTTATCGTTTTTGGCTTAGTGCAGTAGGTTTGTCCAAACAATACCTGATATTCTTCTTAACGTAACTCTCAGGTAAATAAAGATATTACATTGGTTTATTGCTGACTAGAAACTCTTTTGATACCTTTGTAAACCAAATAAAATATCCAGTGACAAGTAATTGAGTCGAGAAAAAGGAAAAAAAAGCGGGTAACGGTGAAAAGAAAGTGTAGGTATACCTATATACACTACTCATAGCTAATGACTACTAGTAATTTAACTGCAATTAATGTTTCCCGAGTTTTGTTACAGACGCCATCTTTGTTTCAGAGAGCGCGAAGCGTTGCAAAATGTTCAAATTAATTCTTTATTTGAAAAAGATTTTTGTTTATGTATAAAAGACACAATGCGCTAAAACTCTATTCTTTCGAGATAAAAAGAATCCTTTATTTAGATTTGAAAGAAAATGCAGACTTAATTAAGTGTGAAGGATAGGTACTTTTAAAAACAAAATAATATTATTTTCAGTACTAAACAACAACAAAACCTTTTAGAACGCAAGTATGTACATCTGTGTTGTCGCTTGGTAACATGATCAGTCACGTTGCAACAAATTCAACATAGCAATTTAAAAATATAAAATTAGTGTACTTAAATCTGCTAAATTTGATTTTATGAAATATATATATAAAAATAAATAAATAAACACCAAGTGGGAGGAGGTCCCACTTGGTGTTTATTTATTTATTTATATATACGTTTTTGTACACATTTGAACATTTTACAAGGAGCAGGCTTACAACTACAAAGTGAACAATAGGCGGCCTTTACATACAGGGTGATTTCTTCCAGCCAACCTTTGGATGGGAATTTAAAAGAAACCATCAGTGTAGTGTACAAGATACAATAAATGGTGTTTTTGTTTTGCAAAATTTTCCAGAAAAAATATCTTTTATTTTTATAAAAAACGATTTACAAATCGGATGATTGTTTAGGTTTACTGGTGAAACTTGTCGCGCACTTTTAATTAAGATATAGGTAATGGCTCGCATATCACACTTAGCTTTGTACCTGTTATGTTGAAAGCACCAAGGGTGAGCCTAGCTGTACAATATACTGAGCATTATTACAAATCCCGTGGTAACCGAGAATGTCAGTAACATTTTGCTTAACTTTAGATCCCTGGACTGACATAAGTTAGCCGAGGATACGTGTGCAAGCGCAAAAATGTACCGTAGCCGCGGTCATGACAAAAAGAAGGAACGAGGTGGTTTTTAGTCAATAAGAGTCAGTAGGAGTCTGTCATTCCCTCTTGCCCCATCCAGCGTGGAAGGGAACATTTAATTCATCAAACCCCAAGCGATCGCCGGCCTTCGCCCACCTAATCTTCTCCTATTGTGTCTTGAGTTACTCGTACCGTGACTGAAAGGTTAATGTTAAAAAAGTGAGAATCACTTAGGAATTCCCTTAGTATGACAAAAATACATTGACTTTTGAGACATTTATCAGATCTGGTAATCTCGGTGAAAATGTTTTCATGGTGACTGGCTGTACTAGATTATTATGAGTCCAACGTACAGAGCTCTTAATGAATGAGTCAAGCAGTTTATATATGAGTACGCCTACAAACTAGATCGCTGTGTACCACATGATAATGACCTACGTAACTGTAGGTATCAGCCGTCACTCCCGTGATTCCTATAGATATGTATATCATCTTTATAACAAGCTATTAATATTCAAGCGTTACAACTTCCCAGTCCCCGAAACCCTGGCGATAACGCTATTTTTAGAAGTTGCCACTAGTAATTACTATGTCGTAACCTTACGTCAACTGCATTCACGCATCATTGAATTTTGCACGGCATTTAAATTAATTTGTTTCTTATCAGAATTTAATACAACGGTACTCAATAATGAACAAGCAATAAAACTAACGTGACTGACAACTGATCAGTTCCAGTTAGGGATATCGTCAAATCAGGGTTCTCTTTAGAAATGTAGGTACAACTCTAAATTTCATAATAATATTATAAAGGAATAATCTTGTAAACTAAAAACACAACAAAAAATAACGCTCCGAAGTTTAGCACGAACATTATGACGTTATCTGTCTGGTGGGCCGCACACCAACAAACGATAAAGCAAATAGCAATATCTGAAGCTATGTAGGCAACACAGACGGCAGAGGCGCCCCGCCGCGGACGACTGCACGCAGTACATTGACAGCTGAAACCGTCAACAAAACGAGAATAATATTGTCTTGTTCTGCAATACGTTCAGCTAACCATTCACGCTTACGACGAAACGCGGACAACACGTGGCCGCGTAATATTAGAGCGACAGCGGCATGCTACACACCGCACGCTCGCCCCAGTCCGGCATCGGCAGCGCACCACGCACGGCACAGTGTCCTCCCATGCGTGCTCCACTCTGTCACAGAGCATAAATGTTAGTTCCGAGAGTGCACCACAACACCGACAATGGCCAACCGCAAGTGGAGGGAATATGTGACGGCTCTCAGTGGTTCGTAAATTTATTTTTATTTTCATGTGTGCAGTGCGTGTTTTGAAATAGTTTTATTTATATTTACGTTCATGGTGCGCGTACGATATCATCGTAGCCGGCAACACTATGGGTTTTACACACTGTGCACACTCCCGCACATAATGTCATTAATTATCTTTTCGCTGAAGTTTCTATGATAAAGTTTTTTAATTAGTGCATGTTATGTTGTTATAAACCACGATCAACTTGTACCCACACTGTAAGTGAACTGTAGATCTAAAAACTTCTAATCAGTTTGTTATTTCTGTGAGCCGGCAAATTTTTTGAAGGTTTTCCTTCACATGTTATTTAAGTGGGTGAAAATCGTTATCGTTATAAATACCAGAGACTAACGCTAGCGTAAATAATTCCTTGATAATTAATCGTTAATCTTGATATTTAATCTTTTTGTTAACAATGTGGCAATAATAAACGGAAGTGATGGTTGGTAACCAAACGATGTAGTGGTTCGTTAATTATCGCGCTGTCATAACTAAAGTACAAGAATAATGTCCATTGTTGACATGTAGTTACGAACGCACAAATATACCTACCTTTAGGCCGTAATTTTAAGTTACACGATGTTTTACTAAGTACGCGGAAACAAAGTTACATAGTGTTTATGTCATAAATTAGCATGTAATACATATTTATGGTCACTTGTCAACATTGCCATATTTATTTTTTTGTTGGACTAAACGAAATGATAATAAGCAAAAAAGCTACTAAATGAACTGGTGACGCACGTAGTTAGTTAATTAAAATTCATCAAGTGAATATCGGTGGTTTAATGCGGTTGTCTAGGTTAGTAGTAAAACTCCTTGGAGGCCATTCGTCCTAAGTACTCGAGGGGGCAAGTTAAGCTTGTTTAAGCCTCTGGTCTCGCTCGACTAAAATATCGACTGTGGTTACGGTAGTTTCAAACTAGGAATCTTCCGACCAATACATTTTGAGATTTCGAATGTTGTGCAATCTTACCCATAATTAGATTCAGTTGTCAGAGAAGCATACAATGACTTGTAATATTTACGAGTTTTAGTTTACAGTTACTGAATTTCAATTTGTTACATCACTCGTCTCGACAGTTTTTATAAGATTTCTAAATGTGTAAAAACAGGTGCTAAAAGAAGTCTGCTAATGAAACTTAAAGTGTTGGTAAACTTACTGAAACAATTATAATGTTTCGACAGCCATAATTTATGAAAAAAACACTGAATGTATTTTTGCAAATAGGTCATAAAACGCATCGGTCTTTTATACGTCCTTATTATTTATAATCATAGATAGATGTAGATGTGTATATGATAGATGTTCCAAAAAGAGATTTTAAGTATCAATATTATAGGCCATACCAATATTTCTGTCCCTCATGCCATTTTCTAGTAAATTAAGAACAAATCGAATCCAAATTTTGATAAGAAAATATCTAATAATATATTATCTAAACTGCGAATTTGAATTCGTATTCAACTTAATCTTTAACATCCACTAACAATTACAGAAATACTTATAGCAAGTTTCCATATAAACTTTAATTATTTTTTGTCATAGAACAACCTGATATTCGGTATTAGGTAGTCGCGAAATGAATATAAAAACCTAACTTCATTAGCTAATGAAACTTAGTCATGACAATGAATCCACGTGCCTTCGAGCTCTTTTTTTTACAACCGACACGCCTCCGTTGATTTACGTAATTATATAATTTATACTAAGTATTTATAAGTGACTGATATTATAAAGAGGTAAAATTTGTAAGTTTGTATGAAGGGGGTAACCTTTGGACCCGTTGGTCGGATTGCCAAAATTCTTTCACTGATAGCTACAATGTTCCTGAGTGCTATAGACTATAAAACATCACGCTACGATTGAATGGGGTCGAGCAGCGGGTGAAACCGCGCGAGAGTAGCTAGTAAGTTATTTCGTGAGTTACTGTTTTTACCTAAAAATAAACCTACATATTAATCTGATATATACTTAACATAATTTTTCTTATAAGCTTAAATCTGCCTAAAAGTCAATGACATTTGATTCCATTTCATTTTTGCTTTTTACCTGAAATTTTTGCTTAGCTATTTTATACCTTAATATGTACTATGAGTTCGCCTTAAGACTAGTTACGAGCTCTGAATGAGACATGTACCGACAGGTTAAAGCCTGCTGGAACCGACACACTGGTCAAATCTTAGATAGGCATCTCTGATTGCACCATCAAATGATAACTTTAAAATCTAATATCCGTAATCAAAATTATCCTATAGATTATTATTCTACTAATATTATAAATGCGAAAGTTTCTGAGATTGATGGATGCTTGTTACTCTTTCACGTAAAGACTCGGATCGGAAGGTTTTAATAATACTTTGTCCCTAGTACTGATAGTAAAGCACCTCACAAAAGCTAGTAGAAGAGCAGTTTTAGTTTTTCAGTATATTTGTAAAATGGTGCTAGGGCTATCCCTAGATAGGGATTAGAAGTTAACTAAAAGAAGAAGTTAGATAAAGTAACTAGCGAAAAGTGGCTAGGTACACCATAAATTGACCTCAACATAAAATCAGCCCTTCGGGGAACAAAAAGATTGAGTTTACGCTCGTATATCAAAAGTTTATTAGACATACCTACATGGTCATGGTGGACATTAATAAGATCTAGAATTATATTTATCTAGACTAAATTCCAGCTGTCTGATGAGTTTTATTAACAGATGACTCAGTTCATTAAGATTACATTATGAACGAAACAGCCAGTCTTTTTTTTCTTGTCGTAAATTAATATAATGTATCTACAAAAGTGTTTTTTTTTTCTTACCTGTTTTATTTTGGGGCTAGCAGAAAATTGTTACGCAATGTTTTATAATAATTTGTCTGCCAAAACTACTACATACCAACTTTGTTAAAAATTAAATCAAACTGTATATAAAATTTATAGTCTTAATATTTGTACTATGTAAAGTGGGATAGCAAATTAAATTTTGAAGCGAAATTCAGCTACAACCTTCATAGTTTAAATGATATAAATACGACCTATTATAATTACAATAATCTAGATCTATCATTACAAAGATTACTTAGAAACACCAGAATACAGAGTAGTTTATAATTATTAATTGAGTTTTTAACATAATACACAAAACGTATTATGCAATTTATTTATAGAAAAATGATTCCATGAAACACGAGAAGAATAAGGTACCCATGTTATACCGTTAAATGTAGAATGTAAAGAATGGAAGCGTCATGAAGAAAATTCGGAATCGTAACAAAGCTTGGATAAATCTCCTCCATTTTCTTTAAGTTACCAATAACTCGTTCTTAAGCCTCGTCTTTCCAATTTGGAACCAAACAGCTGTAGCAATTTACTACAATTCTATGAATCGATTTTTCAACAGAATGGGTAGTTTTAGGTAGACACAAGAATCGAATTGTTTTATGGAATTCTGTCTGCCTGTCTTACGATCACGTAGATACTATGCAACTTATCGAACGTCATTTTTAAGAGAATTAGTTACGCTACTGAGTCCTTGCCGGCTTTTCAAAAAATTCTCAGGAAAATAGCACACGGTCTATCGGCAAGTGAAATTCATTAAATGATTTCATCATAATTGGTCTTCCAATATGTTGGATTATCTCTTATCATTGCCTACTGATATAGGTGAGATAGTAACAACACGTTACTTCATGGAAATACTAGTATTACTAAATAGAACACGAATTATTGTATTGTTCATCACTGGAAAATTTAGATGTACATATATAGGTATGTACATCTCATTTTGAAACAAGTTCAAAATTAATATTAAGATTTTCGTTTCAAAATGAGTACCATGTTTATAATGGGCTTCATTACTTCTGAACAACTAAATCTATTAACGACTTTCTTTGCATGAAATGATTACAAAAATCCATCCCTTATCATAAACTTCCCTGTTGAACATAACAATGAATTCATTTTGCAAATAGGCCATAAAACGACACGTTTACACGTCAAAATTATATAATAATATTAAAAAAAAACTAGATGAAGCCGGCACTTCCTATCTAAATACTCAGAGAAGAAAAGTAGATACCGAAAAAAACTCGGAGCTCCGTGTTTTTCCGCAATAGGAACCTACTACAATTATATTCTAATACGCTTTCAAACTGTGAAGCTATAAATGTCGCCAATTTTCCAGATAGCATCTACCTACATATAAATGTCTACAATTTACCGCAAAAAACGATAAACATCTCTATAAGGTATGAAACATTCCTACACTAATTAAAATACGTACGTAGATGATAACTAATAGTCGAAAGAAGTTCCTGTTGTCTAACTAACTAAAATAAATTATTGCCTTATTTTATAAACGAGTTCTTAAAGAATACAATATTATACATATTAACCCTTCTCTTTAATCATTTTATCTATTTATAATAAAACCGCATCATAATCCGTTTCGTAGTTTTAGAGATTTAATAAATACTTAAGGATATCGGGACAAAGAAAGCGACTTTGTTGTATACTAAGTAATGATGAGGAATAGGCCAAAACAAGCAAACAGATCTGCGATAGCCAATCAGCGCCGTCCATTCCAAGCCACATTAGTGCAGTTGTCGTCCTTTTGGGGTTTAGGGATTTGGAGATTGGTTATGAAGAAGAGAACTGGATCGTACCGTGCTTGTAAATTTTGAAATTAAGAAAGAGTATAATTAACCCCATTTTTATTGATTTATTGTAGGCTATAGGCCCGTCATCATACATAACTAAATCAAGAAATATGTATTAAATTACAATCGTAGGTATGCACTTCAGCTTTCTTCCAGCCTTGTGTAAATCTTACCCAATGAAGAATGATCTCGATATTTTTATTTACTCATAAGTTACGTTAGAGTATCCCCTTGACATAATCCTGTATTTACTTTTCACGATAGCAACGATAAAGAGGACCCTGGCCTATTGAATTGTTAGCTGATAACCACTCATGTTAGACCTGATAAAAA